TCTTCTGCTAGAATGTAAGTTCCAAGAGGGCAAGATTTTTCTCTAAATTGTTAGCTCCTGCAGCCTTGTTGGTTCCTAAAACATTAAAGAAGCTTTTTTTTTTTTTTTTATCCTCACCCAAGGACATTTTTTTGTTTTTTGTTCAGATAGAGTGGGAGGGAGGGGGTGGGGGGGGGGGAGAGAGAGAGAGAGAGAGAGAGAGAGAGAAACATTGATGTGAAAGGGACACATTGAGTGGTCTCCACCCACAAGACCCAACCAGGGCCGGGGACAAACTGCAACAGAGGTACATGCCCTTAGCGGAAACCGAACTCGGGTCTCTCTGGACCGAAGGCTGATGCCCTAACCGCTGAGCCAAACTGGCCAGGGCTGAAGAAGCTTTGTAATTTATTTGTTGAAGGAACCAGTTGGGGCTGGTACAGTTTTCCAGGTAGACAGGACAATGGCCTGGCCTAGGGCTGGAGGAGTGGTTGGCATCAGAATGATGTCACTGAAACCTCAAAACAGTGACTGTAACACCAGTTTTAAAGCTGAGAATGCTGAGGGCCAGGGCAGTGCAGCAAGTGACCAGTCAGAAGTGGCACAGGGCCTAGAACCTGAATCTGCCATCCTTTGCCCCCTCTTGGCCCCAGCTACCACCCTCCCATCCACCCCCACCCCACCTCCCAGCCACCCTTGCACAAGGCCCTGATGCAACCCTGTACCAGCCCTGGGTGCCCCTCTTGTGAGCAGTGCTGGGAAAAAGATTTTGCAACATTGGGGCAGGAAGCTCCAGCCAGGGCGGTCCTGGGAAGATAAGGGTGTTCCCGCCCCTTGTGCGCCTCCAGGCCTTCTGGTTTCCTCTCTTCCGGTCCTTTCCCTTTCCCGGAAAGAGGCACCAGGACCCTGGCCTGGCTGTGACTCACCACCTTTCCCTCTGGCAGCCAAACTAGAATCCCAGGCCTGCTTGTCACTGGAAAGCCTTGCTGTGTGTGACACTGGGCAGCAGAGAGCCCTCTCTAGCCAGCAGTTTCTGGAGCTCAATAAGAGTAGCTGACATGAAGATAGGTTCTCTCTCTGAGCCTTGGTCTCAGGAGGCAAAATGTGGGGGGATTCCTGGAGTACTGCCCTATTAAACCAACTTTGAGGTCTGGGGTGACTCAGATTGACAGGTGTAAGGTTGGAGTTTGTGTGTGAAGCACCCTTGACCCCTATGGAGGCGGGGGGGGGGGGGGGGGGGGAGGCATCCAGAGGCCAGGGCCTGGCGATCCCTCACCCTCCAGGACAGAAACAGACATGTCCACAGTTTGGTTGGTTTCTACCTGATTCAAGACCTGTGCCCAGCTGTGTGACCTGTCATCTCAGAATCAGGTCGCATAGGACCTAACCCGGGATCTCTTAGAGATTAAGAGCCTGCACTATTTCCATCTTCTAAGGCTCTAGTGAGATTTTTAAAATTGAGAAATGCCAAAACAAATCGTGGGTTGCAAAAATTGGGATATGTATTGTCTTGGATTTTCCCAGGTTACGCATTTAAAACAAAAATGTAGCCCTGGCCGGTTTGGCTCAGCGGTTAGAGCGTTGGCCTGCGGTCCCGAGAGACCCGGGTTCGGTTCCCGCTAAGGGCATGTACCTCGGTTGCAGTTTGTCCCCGGCCCTGGTTGGTCATGCGGGTGGCAGCCACTCGATGTGTCCTTTCACATCGATGTTTCTCTCTCTCTTCCTCTCTCCCCCTCCCACTCTACCTGAACAAAAAATAGAAAAATGTCCTCAGGTGAGGATAAAAAAATAAAATAAATAAAATAAAAATTATATATATAAAGACCAGACCAGGTATGATTTCAATTGGAAATGCGATGAAAAAAGCTAAATTGGACATTTCAAGGGAACGTGAAGCCTTTCATAAGCCTGGTTTGGACCAACTGATTTCTGGAAAGTCCTCTAAATCAATGTACCTGTGTGGCCTTGGGTGTGTCACCTCACCCCTCTGACGCCTCCCCTTTTTCATCTGAAAGGTAGGAATAGCAGTGGGTTCACACATCTAACAGAGCTGATGAGACAACCCCCTTAGGAAGGACTCAAAACATTTTACTCCAATATATGCTAAGTGTCCACTCTGAGCCAGTCCCAGTACTGAGCTTCTAATATGCATCAGTTTGATCCTGGAGGCTGAAGTTCTGGAGCCCATTTTCCAGGTGAGAAAACGGAGGCTACGATAGGTGACGTGAAGAACATCAGGGCTCATTCAGAGGCTGTGGTCTACCAGCCTCCATACTAAAATATTAGTCTATTATTATTGTTGCTGCAGCTGCTGTTGTTTCTGTGATTATTAAAATAAGCATATGATAACACTGCCCCCCTACAAGTCATGAGGATTAAATCAGTTTCTAAAAAGAGCTAAGTACCTGGTACATGACAAGCACTCTGTGTTTGTTAAATTAAAAAAACTCAGGTGTTGGGCCCACAGCCCTGGAGAGGCAGGGTCCAAAGTTCAAGAAACGTTGTCCTGGTGTTTCTTTGAGGGCTAGCTCTGGGCTTTTGCCTTGCCCCATCAGTAGGGGTTAAGGAGTTAATGATTTCCCAAGCAGAGGCTGAAAGGAGTAGGGTTTTGCCTACTACACACATGCACACACTCTCCTCTGTCTTTCTCTCTTACACACGCACGCACACACACACACATACACACACTCCACACACACCCACACACACAGAGCCCGGCGGCCTCTGTCCCCCTCTTTCCCTCCCCCTGCGAGGCCGGGAGCCTCTTTTGCAAGCCGCCGGCGCCCGCCCGTTCCCAGGCCCGGCTGCAGCTGCGGGCGGAGGGGCAGGGCGGGGGCGGCGCGCTGTTTGTCTAGCGCGGCCGTGCCAAAGGCGGCGGGCCCCAGACAGCCAGGCGCCTCCGTACACCTGGGGATGCTCAGGTTAAATAGCTCCGCATTCCTCGGACCCAGCTGATGGAAACGCTCCCAGGCCGCCGCCGAGCCGGCCTCCAGATGGGCTGGGCCCGGGCCAAAGGGGAAAAGAGGGAAACGTGGAAGCCAGAGTGTGCCTGAACGGTGGGGGCGTGGGGAGGGCGGGCCCCCGCCACAGCCCCGTCCTCCCCTGGAAAAAGGCCCTGCCATGTAGGAGTGCACGCGGGGGACACGCCCCCACCCCCGTGGGTGGGCTTGCAGGCGAGGGCCCACACAGGAGGGAGGGGGTGCACACGTGTGCCTCTGAGGACACTCCAAGGACACACAGGCGACAATTAATAATAATTTATAACTAGCAAACACCACGGGCTAAGCGCTCAACTTCATTTTTCTCTACAATTCTGCGAAGTTAATGCTATAAAACAGCAGCGGGGTGGGGAGTTGATGGAGCTAGCAAAGGACTTACCTCCAATTGTGTTCTTTGATAAAGTTCATAATGTGCTTGGGAAGGGGTAGTGCCTGGCTTTTCTGATTTTTCAATTACAGTTGATATATATTAGTTTCAGGTGTACAACATGGCGATTAGACAAGGGGTAGTACCCGCCTTTATGTTAGTGCTCAATAGATAATCTTTTATTTATTTTTGTTGTTTATCCCCTCAGAAGCTCTATTTCTGTTGTAAACCTGGGATCAGAATCCGCTTTTAGCCTCCCACATGAAATCCTCTATGACTTAGAGGATAGAGTCTATGTAAAGGGTTGAGCAAACAGGCAGACTCATGGTGCTAGGTGCTATTTATTTTATTTATTGATAAAAAGTATTAAGTCTTTACCTTCTCTGGGACAAATGCTTTGCCCTTTTGGGGACTCCATTTCTCCCTGTGTGATACATGGGAGCTGATCCGGTAGTGTACGTGGCGTTGGTGTCCCCAGGGCCTAACAATTCCCAGGAAAGCTGGTACTTGAAGTTTTCAGGAAGGATTTGCCTGAATATAGCAGCCCTCACCTCCACCCTAGACCAGCAGAGACCCAGAAATGCCAGCCAATCTACAGAACAATTACACACTTAGGAACCCAGTATGGTTCTGCAGCCCCCAGACATACAAACTCATCAGTCAAGCTAGACCCATGCAGAGATGCCCACAATGCATTTAGGCAGAACACACAAGCCCAAACAGCTGGAGATTGCACTTATCTGCAGAACACATGTGTTCACATTTGCCCTTCTACATACACCCCCAGGCCTGTACACCAACAGGGGACCCAGCCCCAAGGGGGCACTACCAGTTCACTCATGTCATATACACAGGCCCAGACACTCATATTCACTCCCCCAGGAGTACAAACTCACACACGTGTCCAGGCAGATAGGCCCTTGCCAGTGACACCTTTTTCCTGCTCAGGAACTGGGGACTGACTCACCCACTCCCCAGAGCCCACACAGGAGCCCTGAGGGAGAGAGGAGGTTCCTATGAACTGCTGGCATAGCCAGGCCAGAGTGAGGGGGCTGACTCCGGACCCAGAGCAGGTGGCGCTGCAGCTGTGCTCAGGCTGGCTCTGCCAACTTGCTCACCCACTTGGACAAGCCTAGAGCCCCAGGGAAGCCTGCTGGGACCCAGGGTTAGGCAGCCCATTGGGGGAGGCACCTCCTACTGGGGAAAGGGGCAATGGAAGTCCTGCCTCAGACATGCTGAGGCTCTAGGTAAATCCCTTTCCTTTGGATCTCACTTCCTCCATCTTGGCAAATGTGCAGGTGGATCCAGTGACCTAATTCTCCATCTTAAATGGCTTGAATACTCAGCCCAGAGGGGGCCTTGGCAGGTTGATCTGCATTTTTAACAACCTCCCCAGGTGACCCAGATGGCTCAATGACCACTTTGAGAAACCCTAGAGGATTTAACTTTATGACAATAGGGAACAGGAAAATGGCCAGGGATGGGGGAAAATACTTTAAAAAGACACCGGAAACACTCAGTTCAAGTCGGTAAAACTGACAGTCCAGATGTGGCCTTCTAGTCCCCCACCTCCCAGCACCAGCTGCAAAAAGGGTCAGGGGTTACCCCCCCCCCTTCAACCCAGAGCCCTCCCCTCAATCCAAGAACACTGCAACTTTACCATCATCTAAAGTATTTGTTTAATAACAACAACAGAAAAAAACCCACAGAACTATTGTAAAACAATATTCTCAGTCGGTGATCATTGTAATATACAATACAAAGCAATTAATTTCCTCAGAAATCTGAGAAGCACCAAACGTGACCATTTTTTAAAATGTCTGCTTTTCAAAAAATAGAAACACACGGGGGGGAAACTCCCCCAAGTCTCTGGTGGCTGATAGGTGTGGAGGAAAGGTCGGCCTGTCCTGTCAGTCCCCCGGCCCTGGGCTGGATCCAGCATGAGCCCAAAGGCTGCTGATCTCAGTCTTGTTTCTCCCCATCCGCGGAGAGGGGCTTGGGAGGACCAGAGAGCACTATGCCTCTCGCCCCCTGGAGGGCTGGGGTCTGCGGGTCCTGGAGAACGGCGCTTCAGCGACACAAGATGCGATCGTCCGCTGGAACACATGCCGCCTGTGAAACGAAAAGAGAAGAGGTGAGACGGGCGGGTCGGAGTGGACAAGGCTGCAAGCCACCCCCCTTCCCTAGGAGAAAGAGCGCTTCTTCCGATGTCCTTGGGAACCCTTACATAGCCAGGGACCCGAAAGGATAGGGTAGACTAGGGCCAATTCCCCCCTCCTTCTCTGGGCCTCAGTTTCCCCATCTGTAGAAGGAAACTGATCTCGTGCTCCAATTCGGACCTCACCTCGGCTGCCAGGGCGCTGATCTCGCCGTTGAGGGTGCTGAGCGGAGCCCGAGCGGGGAGCCCCCTGCCTCCGGGGGTCCCGACTTGAGATTCCGAGTTCAGCTCTAACTCCAGGTCCCAGATGTAGTCGATGACGTGCTGGAGGATCTCCACCCTGCTCACCTTGCGGTTCTGGGGCAGGGTGGGCACCAGCTCCTTGAGGCGCGAGTAGCAGCCGTTCATGTCGTAGAGGAGCACGTTGACCTGCTGCTCGTCGAGCAGGGCGGGCAGTCGTGCCCCGGGGCCGCCGGCGCAGCGCGAGATGGCCACGCTCTGCTCGGACAGGCAGCGCACCACCTCGCCGGCGCCGCCTGCAGTCTTGCCGGCCTTCAGTGTGCAGCTGGGGCCCGCGGCGGCCGCGGCGTTGCCACTGGCGACCTTCATGATTCTAGCGTCGGGGTAAGAGAGGAGGCGAGAGCTGGGCGTGCAAAAGGAGGCTTAAGAGCTAAAAAGACGGTTGTAGAATGCGCGATCCAAATCCCACAGTCGGATCATTATAAAGACTACACGTCCCCTCCCCGAGGGGCGGGCTCAGACGTTCAAAAGCAGCCAATGGGAGGTCTGAAGGCGTGGCCTCGAGAGCCTCTGGGCCCCGCCTCCTGCTCTACTAGCGTACCCTGGAGGGCGTGGAAGGGGGACCCGAGTCTCAAGAACAGAGAGTGTGAAGGCACAGGGCAGGGTGGCGAGTGGAGGCGAGGGCTGCCTTAGCCTCCTCGAGAAGGAGGCAAGGAGGCTAAGCCGATATTGCTGATAACAAAAAGACTTCAAGAACCAGTTTTCTTGGGTTCATTTTCTCACTTCTCCAGCCCCATTTTACAGATGAGAGAAACTGAGGCCTGGATGAAGAATTGACTGGCTTTCGGTCGCCCAGAGAGCTCAGGCTTTTGGATCTTATTGGAAGATTACCGCTGGGACTCTGATCTCGCGAACATTTGGTCTGAAATTTAAAGCCGGCCCTCCTTTAACACTCTGCACCGGGCTGGTCTCTCTTACCCAATTCCCAGAGAATGTTGTTAATGTTTCTGGAATCAGGAGGACTTACCCAGGCCCCTCGGGGTGCGAGCAATTAATTTGGGAAAGTCTTCCTCTAAGACTAGGGGCTGGGCCTTGGGACCAGGACCAGATAGAAGGCTTCCAGAGTGGGAACGCATCTCCTAATTCTACCCTGAATTTGCACCCCCCTGCAAAAATTCCCTAAATCTGCATTAACTAGTGATTTTAAAATGTTTTTCCCTTTTTTGGCATTTTTTCCCCCCTAAAGATTTCGAATCAGGGTCTCCCACGGCGCGGCAGCTGCGGAGCTCCAGTCCCCCCTCCCTTTCTCCCCATCCCCCCGCCGGGCTTCCCGGGCTGGTCTGTGTCAGCGTCTGAACAAGAGGCTCAGACCGTTAGACGCCAGGCCCGTGACGTCACCCATTCATAAAACCTGGACGGGCTGTCAGGCTGGCGCCGCGCGGGCGGTCGCCATGGAGACGGCAAACCCAGCTCCGAGCGAGCTATACTCAGCCCCGCCAGTCACCTGCGGACCTCCTGCAGGAGGCCTGGGAATGTGCTCCTCACAGGCGCGGTCGCCGGGCAAGGGTCACCTTACCTCCCCGCCCCACACCTGGAATCTCCCCACCAGGCCCACAGCTTGAGCCGCTTGGGAGGTTTCTTCACTGCCTCCTCCCCATCTCCAGCCCCCCTTACTGCCTGGGGAAAGGGACCCGAGTTCCGATTCCAACTCTGCTTGCCGGGTGAATTTAGTTGCGTCTCAGGCCCTCTGAGCCATAATATCTGCCCGGTATTTCGATGATAATCACACAGGTGACGATTTATTGCGTTCTTACTTCTTGCTAGTCACGCATTGTGTGAAGAGTTTGCCTTTATCTTCTGTAATCCTTGCCACCACTCTAAAGAGAGGAGCTGTTTGGTTTCTTTATACAAAGAAGAAGACTGAGGCTCAAAAAGCCTCCCAGGAGCTACAACTGTTGTAATGGTTGCATTATTAATAACAAGGACACTTCATTGTAATGCCTTCCCTTCCTGCCAGGGCAGACAGTCTGCCTCCAGAGCCCTGGATAGACCAGAGCCGGAGAAATGGAGGCTAGAATAGCTACCGAAGATCACACAGCGTTAGCAGTGCTAAAATTCTGCACTCATGTGGGAGAGGGTGATATTAATTCCACTCCACACCCCCAGCAATTAATTCACTGGGTATCGGTAGGTTTCCTTTTTCTACAGACGTTTGGAGAAGGGATCAATAAATGACCCCCTGCCTCCACATGAGGAAACCAGGAAAACTGATCAGGAAGAACAGCTTCAAAGGAGAGGGACATCATCAATTAATTAGCTAGACTCCCCATCCCCTTATAACACCCGGTAAGCTCTCCAAATTCCCCAGGCTTGTCTAGCAATCCTCTAATGATTGGAGAAAACATTTTGCTGTGCAGAAAAATTGCTAATGAATTTGGAAAGACAATGATCAACCAGAGCAAATTACAATGTTAATTGACTATTGAGTGCTTATTAATTGACCTAACAATTCTTGCTGGAATCAATTCCAGAGACACCTACACAAAGATGTCTGTTCAGCCATGGCTGGTGTGGCTCAGTTGGTTGGGTGTCCTCTAGTGCACCAGGAGGTTGCCCGTTAGATTCCAGGTCAAGGGCACATGCCCAGGTTTCAGGCTCTAACCCCAGTAAGGGGCATGAAGGAGGCAACCAGTCAATGTTGCACCCTTACATCCATGATCGATGTTTCTCTCTCTCCCCCTCTCCCTTCCTTTCTCTCTAAAAATCAATAAACTATTAAAAATAAATAAAAAGAAGAATGAGAGAATCCTTAAAAAAAAACTAAACAGCCCTGGCCGGTTTGGCTCAGCGGTTGGAGCATCGGCCTGCGGTACAGAGAGACCCGGGTTCGGTTCCCGCTAAGGGCACGTACCTCGGTTGCGGTTTGTCCCCGGCCCTGGTTGGTCGTGGGGTGGCAGCCACTCGATGTGTCCCTTCACATCGATGTTTCTCTCTCTCTCTTCCTCTCTCTCCCTCCCGCTCTATCTGAACAAAAAAATGGAAAAAGTCCTCGGTTGAGGATTAAAAAAAAAACAAAAAAACTAAACAAACAAAAAAACCCCCACGTCTGCTCAAGGATGTTCATTGAGGTGCTATTTACAAGAGGGCAAGTTGAAATAACCTAAATATTCATCAACAGTGGCATTATATAAAGGATGAATGGAACATCAGTGCTGTGGACTGGCCCTGCAGCAGGGTAAGTTTGGCTCTGAGTAATATCTAGATCCTATTGGTAGTGGAGAAAGCAAGAGTTAGACTGGGGTTAAGGTAGGACCTCTTGTAAAAAAGCAAACATACTGCACCTAAGTACATGTGTATCTGGAAATGAATTTAAAACAAGAGAGGAAATTATGCTACAAAGAAATTTCAAACACAATACTGTGTGATTTCTCTCAGATGAAGTTCTAGAACAGGTACAACTAATGTACGATGAAAGAAATCAGAATGGTGTTTTCCTCTGTGGGTGGAGGGTGGGAGTTGCCAGGGAAAGAATGTAAGGGAACTGTCTGGAGTGATGGAAATGTTCCATGTCATGATGAGGTGTGGATTACACAGTGTAAGAATTAGTCAAAAGACATTGAATTATATTGTTTTGTGCATTTCACTATATTTAAATTGCACTTCAATAAAAAATATTAGAAAGACGAAAAGAGAATCAACACCAAATTATTATTATTTTTTTTCTTATTTGATTTTAGAGAGAGAAGGAAGAGGGAGAAAGAGATGGAAACATCAATGAGAGAGAACATCTATTGGCTGCCTCCTGCATGCCCCCCAGTGGGGATTCAGCCCACAACCTGGGCATGTGCCTTGACTGGCGACCTTTTGGTGCATGGGTCGATGTTCAACCAGTGAGCCATACCAGCTGGACTAAACACCAAATAATTAATATTGTCACTGTGAAGAGGAGTGAGAGGAGACAGAGAACAGAATTGGAATTTCATTTTTATCTTCACATAGGTATTTGATTTTTGTTTGTTTTTTCTTAAACAGTGTTACTGAAGTATAATTGACATACACAAACTGTATATGAAGTATACAACTTCATAAATTTCAACATACATATACCTATGAATCATTGCCACAATCAAGAAAATTAATATATAATTCATCAACCTTAGAAGTATATTCTGCCCTTCATAATCCCCCCCCCCCCTCCATCCAGTGCCTAGGTAACCAATCATCTGTTTTTCCTATAGTTGCATGTTCTAGAATTTTATATAAGTGAAGTATAGTATATATGTACACAGTATATACATGTATAATGTATATACTGTGCATACTCTTGATTGTAATTTTCAGCCTAGTTTCTTTAACTCAGAATAATTATTTTGAGATTCATTCATGTTCATTCCTTTTTATTGCTTAGGAGTAGTGTATGGATATACCACAATTTGTTTATCCACTTACTTTGATAGACATCTGGATTGTTTATAGCTTTTGGTTAGTACAAATAAGCCTGCTTTGAACACTTGTTTATATGCATCTATGCTTTCATTTCTCTTAGGCAAACACTTAGTAGTGAAACGAATGGGTCACATAGTAGGTATTTATTTAACTTAATAAGAGACTGCTCAACTGTTTTCCCAAGTGAGTGTACCGTTTCACATTCCTACCAGCAGTGTGGAGAGTCCAGGTCCTCCACGTCCTCTCTAATGGTTGATGTGGTCAGTCTTTTTCAGCCATTCTAATAGATTTGTGTGGTATCTCACTGCAGTTTTAATTTGTATTTTCTGAATGACTAAAAATGTTGAGCATCTTTTTATGTATTTATATGCCATCCACATATCTTCTTTGGTAAAGTGTCATTCACTTCTTTTGCTCATTAAGAAAATAATTTTTAAAAAAATAATAACTTTAGATAATTGTAGATTCACGTACAGTCATGAGAAATATTAGAGAGAGCCTGGCCGGTGTGGCCCAGTGGTTGAGCGTTGACCCATGCACCGAGGTTGCGCTGGTTTGATTCCCGGTCAGGGCACATGCCCAGGTTGTGGGCCAAATCCCCAGTGCGGGGCATGCAGAAGGTGGCCAGTCGATGTTTTCTCTCATCGATGTTTCTATCTCTCCCTCTCCCTTCCTCTGTCTCTGAGATCAATAAAGAAAAAAAAATAATAGAGAGAAATCCCGTACACTATTTACCCAGTTTCCCTAATGGTAGCATCTTGCAGAACCATAGTACAATATTACAAGAAGGTTTGACATGAAATTCAGATTTCACCTGATTAGCATGTATCCATTTGTATGTGTATTTAGTTCTATGCAATTTATCAAATGTGTAGATTCCTGTGAGCACCACCACAGTGAAGACACAGAATAGCCCTATCCCAAGGATCCCTCATGCTACCCTTTAATCTTTTGTCTATTTTTTTCATTTGGTTGTTTGTTTTCTTACTATTG